GAGAGAGAGAGAGAGAGAGAGAGAGAGAGAGAGAGAGAGAGAGAGAGAGAGAATGATGAGCAGTCTCACAGGCCCTTCTGAAAGCACGATGCCCTCCCCATGACCTCAGGATGGACACCCCTTCTCAAGACCCTATCTCTTGAAAGTCTACAGCGCCCCCATAGATCTGCATCTCAGAGAAGAAACATTTTAAGGACCTTAGGGGGCCACTCAGATTATAAACACAGCACAGGAAGAGGTTTTCAATAAATCACATGAGGGCAGACAACGCCTTTTAGTGTGTAAGCTGGAGGCATTCCTCCAGTGGTTCTCCAAAGTGGTGTGTGTGTGTGTGTGTGTGTGTGCGTGCGCGCGCAGGCTTCAGAGTTTAGGGTCTATTTACTATTTGTTTTTAACTTAGGATACAAGGTAGTGGGTTTCATTACGACATTTCCACACATTTCGTTTTTGTTGATGCTCCTTCCCGCCCCCAGTCCTTGAGTCACCCCTCCTTCTCCGTTCCTCCCACCCCTCAGCAGCCCTTTATGCTTTCATGACCGCCTCCAAACCCTTTTTAAGACCCCCTTTGCCTCCATGCTCCCCCCACCTTTTTTTGTCCATGACCTATATGCCCTCATATAGACAGATATGTAAGAACTGGACCTAAAATCCACACATGAGAGAAAACAGGCATTTATTGTTTAATTTAACATAATGATTTCCATTTCTATACACTTTCTTGCAATATCATTATTTCATTTTTCTTTATGGCTGAAGATTTCTATGATGCATATTCACCGCATTTTCTTTATCATCCATCTGTTGATGGACATCTCAGCAACATTAGTATTTTCAAACTACATTTAGCAAAGTGGAAACTAAGATAGGAAAAGCTTGGAATTCAAAACCATCGCTTTACATTTTTTTAAGATGGTATCCTGGTTAGTTTCTATTGTCATCTTGCCATAATCTGGAGTCACCTGGGAAGAGGGAATCTGAATTGAAGAATTGCCTCAGTCAAACTGAACTGTGGCCATGTCTGTGAGGAACTGTTTTGATTAAGGATTGATGTGGGAGGGCCCAGCCAGTAAACAACCTTCCTCTATGGGCTCTGCTCCAGGTCCCTGCCTTGAGTTCCTGTCCCTGTTTCACTCAATGGTGGACCTTACCTGATGTGCAAGCTGAAATAAACCCTTTCCTCCCTGGATTGCTGTTTGGTCACGGTGTCTGTCACAGCAACAGAAAGCAAACCAAGGCTGATGGTTTTCTGTTAGACTATTGAATGACATTGTCAGAACGATCTGGTAAGATGGTCCTGTCACTGGGTCTGTTCAGGTGGCAGAGAATAGAGAGGAGCTAGAGGCTCAGTGCTGTCCTGCCTCTGTCCCCAGGAACAGGTGCTGAGGCCAAGCCAAGGCTGGCCCCAAGCTTTGGGAGCAGACGGTCCTCGCCCCAAGCCCAGGCTAGACTTCGTGGAGGCAGGCAATGTGAAGAGCGGGCCAATGCCATGTCTCAGTACTCACCATCAAGCCACACTTCCGTCTCTGCCCTCTGTTCTTGTGCTCTGAGTCCACGGAAAAGGTGACCAAAGTACCGACAGAAAGATAAGTGAAGAAGAGGCAAGGGGAGGGCTTCCGGTCTGCGTCTAGCTCAGGTCAGGCTTATTTCACTCTGGAAGAGAGCAGTAGGCCAGGACTCGTGTTGAGTTACTGGCTTCGAGAAGCTGGCGAAAAAAGGCCGTACTTCTCCTGAGGGTGAGATTGCATAACTCATCACCTGGCCCCCTAAGCAGCCACAGATTCACTCCTCCCTCCCTCCTCAAGGAACAGAGCTGGGGGAAGGGGGTTAAGGAAGAAAAGAGGCTGGACCTGAACCCATCCAGGCCACTATCAGTCTTGTATTAGAACAGAAGACACCATGGTCAGATGTTGAGGCTTGTCCCAACTCACGCGGTTAGGCACAGATATGCCAAAAAGCCAGGTTTTCTCACTCTGCCTCTTCCATTCTGTTTTTGTTGTGTTTTTACTTTAGAGACAGAGTCTCACTATATAGCTTCATTGGCCTGGCACTTGCTATGTAGACCAAACTGGCCTCAAACTCACAGAGATCTGCCTGTCTCTGCTTCCCTGGTGCTGGGATGAATTTTCCATTCCCAGCACCTGCTTATCTACACAATTATATTTCCTGTTCTCCTACTCCCCGCTTCTAGCTGATATTGGACACATGGGGCAGACTGTACACATGGGCCATTGTCCCTAATGAGCAGTGAAGGAAGGGAAGAGAGAGGGAGGAGCAGAGGATAGCCCCTCACAGGCAGGGCATCAAGCCTTGGCTACAGCAAGGAAGATCTTAAAGCGTTCAGCAGGGAGATCTGCTCTCTTGGTGACTGGTGTTATGCTCAGATTGCTGGGGGGGTGGGGGGCAAAAGACCACCATGGAGACCAAATCCCGTATGCCAAAGCAAAGAGACTTTATTGTCAAGCTCAGAGCTTGGACTCTCTGTCCGGAGCAGTGGTGAGGGCAGAGAGCCCAGAGCTCAGGTAAGGTGGGATTTTTATCATAGCAGAGGTTGGGGTGAGGGGATTTCCAGGGTACAGGACCCTGATTGGCTGACATTTGTCTGGGGTTTAGGGAATGTTTGGAATATCTTAGATGCAGGCCCCACTGGGTGGGGTCAGCTTAGGGCTTTTCCTGGGTCCAGGTGTTGCCTGCCAGAAGCTGTTTCTGGGCCTCTAGGCCTGTCATGGCAGCTGTGTGGTCAAGCTGTTTTGGGGCCGCCCCACCCCGACCCCAAGAAAGGAGACCAAGAGAGGGTCCTATCACGTGGTGAGGAAGGACAAAATATAGGCAAAAAGACACATGAGCGACAAAAGAGGACAGAAACCTAACTTTTTTCTGGTTTTAACTCTGTTATAGTTTTTTCCTTTCTCATACTAGATGCTGGAATTCAGCTCTTTGTGGACTCAGGTAACAAGAACAATGTTTTCTGTATCCCCAAACAACCCAACTTATGTTAGCACCTTTGGGGCAATGACCGTGGAAGCTGGGCTTAATTTTTAATTCTACTGACCATTAGTGCCACAGGAATCAGACGTGACTAGTCACTGAATACACTTATCATATTGACACACTTAGGAAAAGTGATTTTTAAAAATTTGTTCTGGTGGGAGGGTTTTGCGACCTTAAAATTTCCATATTTGTTTTTGTTTTTTGTTTAAAACTATTTCAAAAAAAAATTGAGGCAGGGTCTCATTTGGATCTTTAGCTGGTCTAGAACTCACTATGTAGACCAAGCTGGTCTCAAACTCACAGAAATCTGCCAACCTCTGCCTCCAGACTTCTAGGATTAAAGGTCTGTACCACCACACCCGGCTTTCCAATCACTCTTCTCTTGTGTTACTACATATGTAAAGTCTGTGGCTAGACTTAAAATAGAGTTCTTAAAATTAAAAACCAATCATGACAAATGCAACTTTCAGTTCCATGTTTTCAGGCTTCTTTGGCTGGCTCCTCTGCCATACATCAGCTCTCTGGCCCCTGGATGGTGGAGGCCCACAAAGGTTTGCTAGTGAGATCTGAGCTTGCTTTATCCAGCAGGGCTGCATCAGAGGATTGCTTGACCACGTGTGTGGTTACCAGGTGTTTGGAAGGGTCTGCACTTGGCTGAGCTAGGGGAGGTCTTTGCTTCACCCATTGGCATTCGTATAAAAAGGCCTTTAGAGAGACTAAAAGGGGCTGGTGAATAATGATCCAGGCCCTCTTGAGGTTATCTGGTGTTTCTATCTTTCTCTCTCCTTTCTATCCTTCTATCTAATATCTCTCATCCCTCAGTCCTCAAGAGCACCTTGGGGTGAAATGTGGGAGCCAGTCTCCCAGCTGGATTCCCACACTGGATCCTTCCTTGAATCATATACATATATGTTTTGAGACAGGGTCTCTTCTGTCTTAAAATCTCAATCCTCCTGCCTCAGTCTTCTGAATGCTAGGATCACAGACCTGTGCCACATCAAGCACCAGTCAATATCATTGGAATGTCACTAATATGCTCAATACAGAGATGCAGACAGAAAGATATGCCCACTGTCTACCATTTTTAAGGAGTAGCATATTCCTAGAGCAGAGCAGAGGTCAGGTATTCAGGCAAACTAAAATTGGGACTGACAGAAAACACTGCCTTTCCTGGAAGGGTAGCCTGGGTATATCCAGGTCAAGCCAGATCAGAAAGGCTAGTCCAGGTGTTGGGTTGGAGTCTCCAGCTCACTCCTGCATGGTCCAGAAAGCCCCATTGCTGACTCCCTCTCCAAATCCCACCCTCTCAGAGAGTCTCCAGCACAGAAAAGGCACCCAGGAGCCCAGTTGGTGACTCTTGCAACTTCCTCCCTTGTTGTGGCCAGCAACCCAAGTCCTCGCCTAAGTGCTCAGCTCTTGACCACACTTGGTCACAAACTCAGCTTGTGGTGGACACGTCAGCACCCGTCCCTCCCCTACAACCTGTAAATTCTCCCTGCTTTCATTTGTGGGCACGGCTTCTCTGGCCTCGAGTTCTGGGACTGGAGTGCCAACCCGGAAGTTGCGTTGCTCACATAAACCTGTCGTTATACTTTTTCAATTTGACTTGATGCAGCTTACTGAGTAGGTGGAGAATTCTACTCGGGGAGGGGGGCAGAAAGCCTACTACCTGGTCCAAAGACTGCCAAGAATAAGCTTGGACTTGACTGTGGCTGTTGTTATTTGGGATTACTGCCATGTCAGCAGAAATACATGGACCATATCATAAGAATCTGTGTGGTGTGACATAACCACCATTAGGTGATATCAGCAGTCCACTCACTGCAAGCATCACCAGGCTGGAGGAGCTCAGAGTGGAAAGCTGTGCCTTCTATCTTCCCGGGTAGTCTGAGGTTGATGTTATGCGTGGCGTACCAACAATAGAAGAGGTTCTTGTCTCCGTCACAACCTCCACCTGCCACGTGATTTTTCTCCTGTTGTTGTCAGGCCCATTGCAAAGAACCAAGACATTTGGGAAGCTGAGGTAACTCCCAGTAACTCAGATGGAGTTAAGTCTACTTGGAGGCTTGATCAGGGTTGGTAGTGGTGAGATGGGCATGGGGTTTGCAACATGAGGAAGAATGACTGGGCTTGGTGATCATTTGGGAGGGCAAGTAAGCAAGTATGCCAGTGAGGATGCTCTCTGCTGCAGACAGTTGAACCCTTTCTTACGTGATAAAAGAAAAAAAAAAAGTCTTCGGGCAGTGGTGGCACATACCTTTAATCCCAGCACTCAGCAGGCAGAGGCAGGTGGATCTCTGTGAGTTCAAGGCTGGCCTGGTCTACAAGGAGAGTTCCAGGACAGCCAGGGCTACATAGAGAAACTCTGTCTTGAAACAACACCCCTTACCCTCAAAAAAGTGCTGTTGTCTGAACAGCAGAAGACCTTTGGCTGGGACCAGCTGTGGGGCTCTAGTATGGAGCACCCCTACATTCTTTCTTTTAATTCTGCCCTGAATGCCTAGGGTTGTTTTGGTACCAATGGAAGGTGTCTAAAGAGATGTGCTGGTCTGGGAAGAAGAAGGCAAGCTCATGTCAGAGTTTTACTTTAATCTTCTCTCTTCACACATGAGACCAAAGGGTCTCACTCTGTGGTCCACACTGACATCAAACCCATGGCACTTCTGCATCTGTCCCCCAAGTGCTGGGGCTACAGTCATGAGTGAATACATGGCTCCCTGCAGAATTTCTGAGGCCGAATTCATAGCCCAGGGAGTATGATCCTTCTCTTAGGAGCTTTTGCCTTACCAACCTAGGTCCTCTCCTACCTGTGTCACAGATGGTCCTGCCACGCCATGGTCATTTTTCTGTTGACGGGAAAAGCACAGCTTCTCCTCACCAACGCTCACTAATCAGTGTCATGCTAGACACTCAGATGAAGTAGTGTATGGATACAGTGTTGCCTTATTTGCTATCATTTGGTCTTTTTCATGTTTCTGATTTAATCCTTTTCATTTTATTGGTTGTATTTTGAGAGTCAGGTTTTCCTATAGCCCAGGTTGGTCTCAAACTCTATAGGTAGCAGGAGATGGCCTTAAACTCCTGTTCCTCTGGCCTCGATCTCCCAAGTGCTAGGATTACAGGCATGAACTGTTCTTGCTTGGTTCACTCTTCAGTGCCCTTTGCTAGTTCCATAAGCTACTTCTGTGGTTGTTATGCAATCACCGGTCAGCAGGAACATAGTACAGATGTTTGCTACAAAAGCTAATGTAGTCAAGGAAACCATAATCTCCAATCTTTAGAAGCTCCATGGTGTAGCAGTTAGCACCACAAATGAGTTAGACAACTATCTGGGTCAAACCCCAGCTCTACCTGTACCAGCCACATGACTTTGAATCAATGACTCATCCTCACTGTACCTCAGTTTCATCATCTGCCAAGTGAGATGACTCTGACGACACAGTAGAATCTGCCTCGTGGGTTCCCTAGCCAGTTGGGTATGCACAGAATACTTCCTAAGTCACCTGGCTAAGTCTTTAGCTTGCTTTAGTCACTTCGAAATAAGGAAATTCTTAAGGAAAACTCTGTTCCCCCCTCTCTCCCTCCCTTTCTTTCATTCTTCCTTCCTTCCTTTCTTTTTCTCTTTGTAATTTATTGTAACAGTATCTCTCACTATGACCACCAGGCTGCCTTTCCTAACACATTCTAAAACAAATCTTATGCTCAGGTTTGAATATAATGTTTCTTTTTATCCAGTAAATGGAATACAGAATCAAAAGCCCATCCATGGGCTAGAGATGGCTCATTGGTTGGAACATTTGCTATGTAATCATGAGGACCAGAGTTTGGATCCCAGCAACCATGTATCTAGATAAGTGCCTATAACCCCAGCACTTGGGTGAATGGGGGATGGTGGTCAGAGATTGGAGGATTGCTAGGGCTTGCTAGTTACTAGCCTAGTTTAAAAACAAACAAACAAACAAACAAAACAAAACAGGAAAT